GATTCTCCTGCCTCAGCCTCCCAAGTAGCTGGAATTACAGGTGCCTGCCACCATACCTAATTTTTTTTTTTTAATTTGTATTTTTAGTAGAGACGAGGTTTCACCATCTTGGCCAGGCTGGTCTCCAACTATTGACCTCAGGTGATCCACCCACCTCGGCCTCCAAAAGTGCTAGGACTACCGATGCAAGTCACTCCACTTGGCCAGAACATTCTGTATCATTTATTATCACCCCCATTAGGATATAAACTCCACAAGGGCAAAATTTTGTTTTGTACACCAATTACCCCTAGTGTGCCTACGTTTGGCATACAATAGACATGCATATGTTCAAAGAACTGCACCTCTATCACTGTAAGGTACTTGCCTATCTCCCTCATTAAAAGAGTTCCTTAAAGACTAACTGGATCTACTTTGCTGTGTCCTCAACACCTGTCCCCGGGCCTGCCCCATAATGGACACCTACTGCACAGATACTCAAGTGATTACAGCCATTTTCACCTGAAACACAATGTCCTATATGCTGCTAAAAAAAAAAAGTCATCTTGCAGCTGTGTCTGATTAAAAGCATGGGTACAAGACAAACCCAGAACATCAGATGCTGTTACTTCAGTCAAACTGAAATTACATTTTTGCCTCAGTTTCTTCATATGTCTAAGTACCATTTCAAACCATCCAAAGTCTAAAAAGGGCACTTGGCCATTCCTCCCCTGAGCCATGTTGCCCACCTAATCTTTTCATCCTCAACTTAAATCCTATCTTTTAACTTTTCCCTGATGACCCCAGCTAGAAGCACTTACACGTGCCACATTCTGCGCCAAGTGCTCTTCATGCATTATCTCATTCAATCCTCCCAAAAAGCCCTAGTAAGTTGTTAACCATTATGATACCTATATAAAAGATGAAAAAAACCCAAGTTCGGAGAGATGAAGTCATCTGTCCAAGGTTAAAATAGTGTTCAGATCCAGGTCTGACTCTGAAATCCAGGTTTTTAAAATCCTATACTGCCTTTCTCTCTCCTCTAGCATTATAAACACTAACTAGCTTACTATCTCAAGGGTTTGCTGTCACTTCACTTCTCTAGGCTTCATTTTTTTCATACGCCAAACAGGTGATATTGCTCAGGATACGTACCATGATCCCCTCCAGTCTTTATAGTATTATGAAAAAAGGAAAAACACAACAAAACAACAACAACAAAAACATGTTACAATTCTTTACTCCATACAGGTTAATACACAAGAAGAGGCCTGGCACAAAGGCTCATGCCTGCAGTCCCAGCACTTTGGGAGGCCAAGGCAGGAGGCTCACTTGCGGCCAGGGATTCAAAACCAGTCTGAGTAACGTAATTTTTTTTTTTTTCAATTAGCCGGGTGCGGTGACACATGCCTATAGTCCCAACCTAGGAGGCTGAGGCAGGAGGACTGCTTATGCCCAGAGGTTTAAGGATGCAATGAGCTATGATGACACCACTGCACTCCAGCCTGGGTAACAGAGTGGGACCCTGCCTATAAAAAAAAAAAAAAAAAAAAAAGGAAAAAATACACAAGAATTTAAAAACATATAATCACTGTTAGAAATCCAAAGCAGTGCATTTCTACTACATTAAAGCAATAAAAACTCCAAAACATGTAAAACCATAAAACATTCTTGATTCCTTCCCCACTCGTGTCTACCAAAGATGCACTTCTGAGTCAATTTTCCCACATATTATGAAAAATTTTTCCCCAAGAAGTGTAAGGATGTGACCCTTAAAGCTTCTGGACTTCACCAAACAACCTGGTAAAAGGAAGTAAAAGCAGGCACTTAGCCTATTCAAAGGTTAGCATGTTACTTTGTACAGAGCAAGTGCTAAATAAGCATTTATTGAATCGTGATACAAAATTTTTTTTGAGGTTTTTTAAACTAAAAACCTATAACGTGAGCTTTGTAATTGGACTGATTGTGCAGCAAATCAAAACAATCTTACCTAACTGATCCTGCCAGTAGCAAAACAAAAAGACCAATCTAATTAAGGTAGTGTTAACCAACGGCCAAGAACTCATGAAAGGAAAAAGTCATGTTAACTTACTATTGCAAGTAAGAGTTGAGTTTCTGGAAAAGCAAAATAATGATTTATCTTGTTGTGCAGAAATGACCAACACCTCAACAGAATCCGTTGTGTTGCAATCAAAACTAAGAACTATCAATTAAGATTCAGACATTTCTGGACCAACGTGAGATGTGGCAAGGGATTCAAAAACGAGCCACAGCCAACCTAAGGTAAAATGTGTCAAAACAGCAAAGCTCTTGGAATCATCCTGGTCATAAAAGTTTGACAGTTTCATGTGAAACCCCTATCAACCGATAAGTTTAAAATGAATACTATATTCCTAGGTCTAACACCAGCAAATGGAGTTTCAAGAATGCCTTTTCAAAACAATGGTCTCGTGAGGGTTCAGGGAAAGAAGTGACTTCAGGCTTTCTGAGGTAGCAGATACAGCAGCAGATTCAGACCTCAAGAGAAATGTAAAGGTGTCCTAGACTGAAAAATTACTATTGGGCAAAACTGTGTTTCGGTTTTCCAGAACACTGTCTTCTTTAGAGAATCCTCAAACGATTCTTAGTTTTTAACCAAGTCTTCACAAGAAATAGAAAGTCATCCGTTTAGGGTAAGAGGTTCCTGTTACCAAGAAAATCGTGTCCGAAAGTGTGAAAATCTCACAATCTGCAAGAAAATGTATGCCCCTCAGGTGGCTTTCATTTTCAGGCGGAAAAACAAACCCGGTGTCACCTCAACAACGGGACCACACAAACCTCGCCATTACAAAACCCAAGTGCCAAACGTGCAGAATGTGAAGCCGGAAGCACTGCGAGGCCAGGATCGAGTTCCCAGGAGGAAAAAATCAAACTCAGGAGTGCAGCGCGGGCCCCTCCACGGCCCGGGGGCCAGGCAACCCGCGCTAGGCCCTTCCGGTCCGAGCCGCTGCCGTCGCGGGGAGGTCGGGCGACGGGTCGAGCTTCCACCCGAGCCCGGGGATTCGCGGCCTACCCTCACCGGCGCCCTCTTGCCGGGCCAGGCACCGGCAGCTCCTCTGACTATGCCCCTTGGCTAGCAGCGGGGCCCGGACGAACCGCAAGGAGCCCGCCAGGACTGCCGAGCCCCGGGCTGGCCGGGTCGGTGCGGACACGGGTAGGGACCGTGGCCGCCCCTCCCCCACCGGCCCGGCCCAACCGCCGCCGCGACGCGAGCAGCGGCGCCAACGCCGGGCCCAACCGCGGGCCTGCAGCGGCCCCAGCCAGGCAGCTCGAAGTGGCGGCGCGGGCCTGCTCCCGACACAGACCGCGCGAAGCCACCGCGGGCCCGTTACTCCTCGCGCCGGCCCGCGCCGCCACCCGTCAGGACGCACCGCCCTCGGCTGGGGCTGAGGCGGCCGACAGCAGCAGGGGGCCGCGGAGCTGATACTTACTCAGGGGTCGGGTGCTCCGGGTCGTAGAAATCCCCCATCTTCGGAGGCGGCTGCGGCTGCAGCTGCTTCATCGGGAGCGGCTGGAGGCGGCGACGAGAGCCCCCTCCCCGCGGCAGGGCGACGCGGGGGAGGGGAGGGGAGGAGGCCGCAGGTCCGACCGCGGCGGCGGCGGCGGCGGCAGGGGCGGCCCGCGTCGCTACCTCGCTCGTCGCTCCCTCCCTCCCTCCCTCGGACGCCCGCCAGCCGCTCTCTCCCTCTCACCCTCACACCGGGAGCGACGCACACCCCACCCGCCCCTCAGCTTCGCAGGCCCGGCCCCTTAAAGAGACACACACGGGCCCCCAATACGCCGCCAGTCGGCGTGCCTGCAGCTGCTGGCTTGACCCCAGGCCGGGACGGGCGGAGCGAAACACTGCCCGGCGGGCCCAGGCCGACAGTGCCTGGGCCGACAGTGCCTGTGGCTCTCCGGAACAATAAACCCCCGGCTCCGGTGATGTGGGCCAGACCGGACCTACAGAGGCGGCACCGCGACCCCTCACTCAACCCGCCTGGCGGCCGGGAGCAGCGTGACCCGGCCTGCTACCGTGTTACAGCTGGCGACTGACAAACAGCAGGCGACGTCGGGAGAACTCCCCGAGACGGCCGAGACATCAGCCTTCTTGCTCCACGGCCCTGTAGGACCTGCCCGCCGGGAGCCCCGGAGTCCGCGGCAGCGCCGAGGGCCCCTCCCCCAGGTCTCTGGGCTCTGAGGTAAAGCGGCCGCGACTGCTCCCGGCCCCTCGTCCCACTCGCCCCTCTCTCTCCCCCTAGCCTCTTCATCTCGACCCCTTAGCAAGCATGGAAGCGCAGCGAGGCGGGGGATTGCTCGGAGGCCGAGCTTCCGGCAGCCTCCTCCGCCCTCCTGGCCGCGGTGCCCTCGGGGCTCCTACCTCCACCTCGGCGCGGCGTTCTACCCCCACCCGAAGTCTCTAAGGCGGCAGCTCGGGTCTCTTGTTTGGTTCTTGGGGCCTTAGAGGCAGTGTCATGAAAAAGGTGTATTAATCACTTTCCTCCAGAAATGATAAGATGAGATTAAGTAGAATAACTTGAAAGAGTTACGAGTTGTTATTTTTGGAAGGAGGGATAGGAACGCGTAAATCCAATAGCTAAACTTTCTAGACGCTGAAGAGTTTTTTGTGATAGATCATTTTGACATTGGGGGTTCATAGGATTAGCTTTTTTTGTGGTGGTGTTGCTGTTGTTTTTCCACTAGAATTTTGAATCGGATTTTACCAGCAATTGGTTAAGGAAAGGAAAGGATGTCTCTTCCAGTTAAGAAACAGTGGTTAAAAACTGAAATGTGGGCCAGGCGCGGTGGTTCACGCCTGTAATCCCAGCACTTTGGGAGGCTGAGGCGGGCGGATCACCTGAGGTCAGGAGTTCGAGACCAGACTGGCCAACATGGCGAAACCTCATTTGTACTAAAAATACAAAAATTAGCTGGGCGTAGTGGCGCACGCCTGTAATCTCAGCTACTCGGGAGGCTGAGATAGGAGACTCGCTTGAACCCAGGAGGCGGAAGTTGCAGTGAGCCGAGATTGTGCCACTGTACTCCAGCCTGGCAACAGAGCAAGACTCCATCTCAAAAAAATAAGTGAGTGAAAATAAAAAATAAATTAGCTGGGCGTGGTGGCGCGCCTGTAATCCTAGCTACTCGGGAGGCTGAGGCAGAAGAATCGCTTGAACCCGGGAGGCGGAGGTTGTAGTGAGCCCAGATCACGCCACTGCACTCTAGCCTGGGCGATGTAGCGAGACTCCATCTCAAAAAAAGAAAACAACAACAAAAATCTTAAATGTGATATGAGAGAATAAACATCCTTCAGTGGCTAACTTTTTAAAATAGCCTTTGTATATATGTAGGCTAGTGTCTTTTAGTGTTTTATAATCATTGTTTTTCACTTAGGAATTATTTTGGCTTTTTTTTTTTTTTCCTGGTACCTTTAGGGTTAGCATGGAGGTCCAGGGTCCATCTGACTCCCTAGGTTCGAATCTCCCAAGGCCATTTCTTTACACACCATTATTGTTACTAATTTCCCTGTGGTTTTTCTCATTTTTAAATGAGAATATTGCTGCCAACTGGTCTTCTCACTATTGTGAGGATTAAATAAGCTGTTTGTTAAAGCTTTAAACTTTCAGTACACGTCAGCGTTCTTTAGCCATGATAGTGCAGAGGTTAAGAGCTAGCTCTACCTGGCATTGTGTACCAGGCACTTTCTAGCCTTGTGACATTGGGATGCTTGCTTCTCATGCTTCCCGTGCCTCACCTGTAAATGGGGTATTAGCCACTGCGCAGAGAATGGTGTGAACATGCTTGCACAGTGCCTCTCATTAAGTGCCCAGTAAGTGTTATCTTTTGGGCTTTGAAAGAATATATTGAGGCCCTGTGCCTTAGATGCTACATAGGCAGCTGGGAGTCACTTGACCTTGGACAGGCAGGATAGGGCAATTTTAGATGGAGGTAGTTGAAACAATGTAAGTGTGAGGTGGTAAGGACCTAAGCTGAGGTGAATGAGAAAAAAGCAGTCAGGTGCAGGTTTCGTATTTCCTTAATAAGAAAGTAAGCAATTCTCTTGCAGGAGGTACAGCTGGGCACTGGTCTCATGATAGCATTGGTTTGGTCAGAACCCAATGCAATAAGCTTGTCAAGCCATGGGAATCAGTGAGAATTCTAAGCCCCAAACAGAAACAAATGAACTCGGTTTTTACAGGCAGTGCCTTCATCTATAATTGCTCTCAGAGTTATTTGTACTCATATTTTTAAGTCAAAGAGAATGCATGCTTGGAGCACATACTTGGGCCTGGCCTCCTGATCAAAGCTGTGGAATAATTTGGTTTTTAGTGTTATTAAATACTGACTGTCCCCTGCTTTCTGCACATGTTTAAAGGAAAAATGTCTAAAAAGCCCTAGCATGAAATATACGAGGCATTCACTCCCAGAGTGCTAAAATCGTAAAAGCCTTTATAATTTCAGCCGGACGTGGTGGCTCAGGCCTGTAATCCATCACTTCGGGAGGCCGAGGCAGGCAGATCACCTGAGGCCGGGAGTTCGAGACCAGCCTGACCAACATGGAGAAACCCCATCTCTACTAAAAATACAAAAATTAGCCGGGCGTGGCGGCGCATGTCTGTAATCCCAGCTACTAGGGAGGCTGAGACAGGAGAATCACTTGAACCTGGGAGGCAGAGGTTGCGGTGAGCTGAGATCGTGCCATTGCACACCAGCCTGGGCAACAAGAGCGAAACTCCATCTCAAAAAAAAAAAAAAAAACCCTTTTTACTCTCTGCTACTTTACTGTCTCCTGTGGGTCAAGACCAACCCCATCCCAGGGGATCCCAGGGTTGCCAGTAGTGACCCTGAAACAAAATCATCTCTTGCCTTGGGAAGACAGAAGGCCAAAGGTCAATCACTCTCCACAGGTAGGCCCCGGGTACCTGGTAAGGGGTAGTAGAAAGAAGAAATGTAGGCCGGGTGTGGTGGTTCATGCCTGTAATCCCAGCACTTTGAGAGGCCAAGGCAGGTGAATCACCTGAAGTCAGGAGTTCAAGACCAACCTGACCAACGTGGAGAAACCCTGTCTCTACTAAAAATACAAAATTAGCTGGACGTGGTGGTGCATGCCTGTAATCCCAGCTACTCTGGAGGATGAGGCAGAAGAATCACTTGAACCTGGGGGGCAGAGGTTGCGGTGAGCCGAGATCGCGCCCCTGCACTCCAGCCTGGGCAACGAGAGCAAAACTCCATCTCAAAAAAAAAAAAGAAATGTAGGTCAGGCACAGTGACTCATGCCTGTAATCCCAGCACTTTGGGAGGCTGAGGTAGGCAGATCACTTGAGATCAGGAGTTCAAGACCAGCCTGGCCAACACGGTGAAACCCCATCTCTACTAAAAATACAAAAATTGGCTAGGCATGGTGGTGCACACCTATAATCCCAGCTACTCGGGAGGCTGAAGTGGGAGAATCGCTTGAGCCCAGGAGGTGGAGGTTGCAGTGAACAGAGATCGCATCACTGCACTCCAGCCTGGGCAACAAGAGTGAGACTCCGTCTCAAACAAAAAAAATGAATAAAATAAATAAATATGTATTTTCTCCTCTGTAGCATAGAAACATTTACTATCAACATCTTAGCATTTTGGGGAGTGGAAAATGAGATAATGTCTGAAAAAGTACCTACTGCCTCTAAACTAATAGCCATACAACAAAAAATTGGCTACCTTATAAATTTAGGTAGATATATGAGGCTCAATACAATTGAAGATTTAGATTTACTCAGTATACAGAATAAAGGCAGCATAATTTAGAATAAATTACTCATTCACCTAAGTTTTGTTATACTATATTGTTATAATTGTTCTATTAGGCCGGGCGTGGTGGCTCAAGCCTGTAATCCCAGCACTTTGGGAGGCCGAGACGGGCAGATCATGAGGTCAGGAGATCGAGACCATCCTGGCTAACAAGGTGAAACCCCGTCTCTACTAAAAAATACAAAAAAAAAACTAGCCGGG